TGAAGTTAGATTAAATTTGAATTCGACTGGAGATTTTCATATCTTATTGGATTTCAGATGAGACTTAGATTTGAATTTTATTTTTCATTAATTGGATCCATGTGAACTAACTTTTTAATCTAGATTAGAAAATGAAAATTAATTTCCTACCTATTAGAAAATGTTCCTTCTTGATCCATTAGAATTCACCTAAATTTTGGACTTTAAGCAGTCCTCACATTGGGATTAATTATTGGTTAATAATCAATTTACTTTTCAAATATGAGAATCTTTTCTGCATTTTCTTTTGATGAAAAAAATAATAATTTTGTTTAATATTACATGAGAAGCTGGTTAAAACCTAGAATCTAAAAAGAGATAAATCCTCAAAATAAGGAATGCCAATGCTGCACAAAAACATTATTACTAGTATAGAACTCAAGACGATATCCATATATAGGGGGGTAGAGAATATATGTAGAGCATCCTCAACTAGATGATCACAAAAAACACATTTACTTAACATTAAAACCCCACCTATTCAAAACAGAGCTACCAACAACTAAATTCCAACTTGATAAAACATTTTCAGGAAAGCCTAAAACAGATTCCTCCAGGAAAAAGAATCACTAGACTTACAATAAGGAAATAAATGTTTATCCTCAAGATATCTTGCTTTTAGCAATTTAACCCACAAGGCATTAGAGGAATTTAAAAAAGCCAAACTAATTTTCATTCGAAAGCTTTATTAATTAACTCCCTTTTTCGTATCCAACTGATTGGACCAAGAGGCTAGATCTGACCATTGCCATTGGATTGTTAAGGCTCAGTTTGGAAAGAATATAAATATAAATATGTACGGTACAAATACATATAAAATACAAGGTTTAGCACTGTACATATTTTTATTTGTACTCCTTCCAAACTGAGCCTACACAAAGTACTTGGTGAGCCAATTAGGTGTAATGAAGAATTTATTTTGTCCTCGTGATGCCAAGCTTACAATGGAGATCGTAAGCCCTAAGATTAATGTGAGAGAGATTTATGTTAGGCGTTTCCAGTGCAATTTCATTTGAATTTGTGCAAAGTAAGGAAGTGAAAATGAGTTAGAGTCCAATTTTGGTTTAATTTTGTTATAGGTTTCGTTTTATTCTATTTGATTGTAGTGCAAGTAAAATGAAAACAAGAGCAGAATAATTTAAAACCTGAGGCAATAAATAAACCAAAATTTTTCAGTTAAAAATGAAAAATTGAACAAAAAATTTTGATGTCGATTTTTTTTTTATTTTAGGGAATTTTGGTATAGCTAATTTGGTTATTGGTTTTAGTTTTTAAAATAAAAAATTGGTTAATCAGCTTTTATATCAGAAAAAACTTGGAATCAATCAATTGGTATCATAAAAGAAGTGACCAATTAGGTGGTGTTCATCAAAATTCACAGAGTGCTTCTTCTGATACCAAGTCTTTCTAATATCATAGATTTTTTCCATTTCAAAATATCTATATCTATATATTAAAATGGAATATGACAAGCTGACACTTTCTGGTTTTTTGGTTATTTTTCAGAAGCACTTATCTTTTTTTCTATTTCTTTTTTAATTTTTCATTTTAAAACTGAACAAAATAACTCAAGTGGCCATTAAGTTTCAAGATTTTATCTTATCTCATTAATTCATCATTAACTCCCTCTCCTCTTTCTTATTAACTCTTTTAATTATCTCCTCATTAATTATGCCATTAACTCTCTCCTTCAATAACTCATGTCATTAATTCTGTCTCCTCTTTATTGATCCATTAAAATGCTTAAAATTCATTAACTTTATCTATATCTATATCCATTTCAATTTAAATATAATTTTATATACATTAGATATATTCATATTAAATTATAATTATCAATAAAAATAATTTTATTGGAATGGAGATATTCAATGATATATTATTAGGTTAAATAATCTACTTCAATTTAAAAGATAATTAATTTTTAATTATTTAATTCACTCAACAAATAAAACCAATGTTTTAAAAATCAACTTGGAAGCTGAATAGTTTTTGCTTTATGTCATGAGTTAATGGTTCAAATGCCTAGGTTGGACAAATCGGAAATTTAGTATATTAGGGTTCTATCTCCTTTTATGATAAAAGAGAGTGCTAAAGCTAGGTGGTTGTTGGCTAAGAAAAGAAGGAAAGAAAGAAATAAAGAAAGAAAGAAGAAAGGAGGGGATGTTCACATGCGACAATAACCTCTTTCTCCGATCTTAGATTTGAGGTCTCGTTGCTCTCTTTCTCTGATCTCATTAACTTTATCTATATCTATATCCATTTCAATTTAACTATAATTTTATATCCATTAGATATATTCATATTAAATTATAATTATCAATAAAAATAATTATATTGGAATGGAGATATTCAATGATATATTATTAGGTTAAATAATCTACTTCAATTTAAAAGAGAATTGATTTTTAATTATTTAATTCACTCAACAAATAAACCAATGTTTTAAAAATCAACTTGGAAGCTGAATAGTTTTTGCTTTAGGTCACGAGTTAATGGTTCAACTGCCTAGGTTGGACAAATTGGAAATTTAGTATATTAGGATTCTATCTCCTTTTATGATAAAAGAGAGAGCTAAAGCTAGGTGGTTGTTGGCTGAGAAAAGAAGGAAAGAAAGAAAGAAAGAAAGAAAGAAAGAAAGAAAGAAAGAAAGAAGAAAGGGGGACGTTCACATGTGACGATGACAACGATGGCGATGGCGACAATAATCTCTTTCTCCGATCTTAGATTTGAGGTCTTGTTTTTCTCTTTCTCTGATCTCATATATGAGATCTCACCTCTCTCTCTTTCTCTCTCCCTCCCTCCCTCCCTCCCTCCCTCCCTCTCTCTCTCTCTCTCTCTCTCACTCTCACACACACAGTTTAGTGATCTCAGATATGAGATTGTGTTTTGGTCTCTCCCCTATCTCTTAATATCTTTTTTTCTTCTTTGTTAATAATCTTTAAAAAAATAAATATTTTTTATTAAACTATAAATGGTTGATCGGGTTGAATGGTTTAGTGGTTTGCTTGTCTGGGTCAATGGTTCTTTGACTAATTCAATGTTTCTTTTTTCAAAAAAAAGTAGTATAGTCTAAAAACTAGCCTAGATATATGATTGGTTCCTAGGTCAAACGCTTCGATGGTTTAGTTTGGTTTATAAAGCAGTGCCAATGACTAGATCAAAAGGGTTAATTGTTCATCTACCTAGGTTGAACAAGTTTTAACAAAATCAACAGTTTTTGACAAAAATAATAGGTTTTAGGAAACCCAAAATTAGAAATAGGGTTGAGTGATGGTTAAAATGGTTTAACTGTTTGAGTCAATGATGAGTTGAAAACATTGAATAAGACACCATAAAATTATAATCCATTTGTGTTCCATTTAAAATAATAAAATTAATTAACCATAGTAAAAATAATTTATAAACTACTTAATTAAGATAAAAATAACTATTAATTATTATTATTGATAATTTTTTATTAATATAATAAAAACATAAAATAATAAAATGTATTAAGATAAAACTAATATCCATTTAAGAGTATTATAAAATTAATACAAAATTAACTAACAATTAATTTTTACTAATGAACTTAAATTCAATTGAAAAATAAAAATGTAATATAATTAATTAAGTTTATTAAGGATTAATAAAAAGAAAAAATAATAAATAATAAAAATTTAGTAACCTTAAATATAGTTTAATTAATTTAAAATCAACTCAAATTATATTAAAAATAGAAAAAAATTATAAAAACCTCATTGGGTTTTCTAACAATCCCATGAACCTCCCCTATACATGTTTTGACCTTAACAAAAGCCTCCCATATTGTTTTGAAAAAAAGGTGTAGATATTTTCCTTATGTTAGCATTGGAAATCGAAAATGTTGGTGTAATACATTAATTTTCTTTTAATACCAAATTTATCTTTAACAAACTTTATTCAGAAATAATTATAAACCAAAAAATATTTTTACCTAAAAATAATTTCAAACCATAAAATTCTAAAAAGTAATAAAAAATATAGTATTAAAATACAAAAAACAATATAGATTTATCTAGAGTATAGAAAATTAGCCACTCTCACTTAAATGGAACTTGAATTGTGATCGAATAAATTAAAGATAACCCAAAAACATGCTTGAATTGGACTCAATTAAGCACTGTTAAATTGAAAATGTCAGAAAACTTCTCTCTAAATTCTTAATAAAAATTCATGCGATGCACTGTACTAAGGAGTATCATATGAAATTATATTTTATTTAACAGAAAATCAAACCAATCTTTATTTCGATTTGTAATTGAATAAAGCGAATGCTCATTTGGTGATTGATCACAAAATGCACATTTTAGGGGATGTTTGGAACTGTGGTCGTTTTTCAAAGAAACGGTGCTACGTCGGATCCACACAGGCGCTTCAATAAACGTTCATATATCTCATTGTTTGGTTCAACCAATTATTAAAAAATGGGCATGTCTCGAAAATCGAGATCTCACCGATGGATAAAATGCCAAATTACCATTTCCCCTAACGGTTGACTGATCTGTATCCTATGTGATGTTTATCTGTCGGTACATACATAAAAAACGGTAATAAAAATCATCTTACCAGTGTTGTTCACCGCCTACTTGATAGAAGCGTCTTTTTTTTTTTTCTGAAAAACGGATCTTGAAAGCATTGCGTTTTTTCTTAAAAATCGGTCCTAAAAAGCGCAATAAAAATCATCTTACCAGTGTTGCTCACTACCCACATGATAGAAGCGTTTTTTTTTTTTTTTTTTTCTGAAAAACGAGTCTTGAAAGCATGGCGTTTTTTCTTGAAAATCGGTTCCAAAAAGCACAATAAAAATTATCTTACCAGTGTTGCTCACTACCTAGACGACAAAAGCGTTTTTATTTTTTTTTTTATTTTCTGAAAAACGGGTCTTGAAAGCATGACGTCCCAAAAAGCACCTACGCTTGAGGTGTCTGTCAAGGACATGCATTGTCAATCACTTCTTCACATATTCCCCGCCAAAGAAAACCAATACAGTCGTTGCAATCTCTTAGCCACCTGTCTGGAATTCACTGTCGCCATTGCTGCACGAATTCAAGCTCCCTTCTTTCTCCTTTGTCATTTTAATTGCTGTTATAACTTCCATTCTCATCGTCCATATCTTGATATATACAATACATTTATATCTCAATTTGCTCTCCTTCGTCTTCTTCGGCTTACGAGAGTGTGATTCTCAATGGAGCTTAACGTGACTACTCTGCGGAACAATCATAATGGATTTCATTTGATCCCGTCACGGTTAGGGTTTCAAGTGGCTATTTCGGATTCGATCTCTCTAAATCCTGCTGTGAAGAGAGTAAGACTTTCCCAGGTTCGGAATGATTCTTACTATGGAGCTCGGTTGTCTTCTTCGAAGTTAGGGTTTCGGACTAAGTATTGCGTTCTTGCTGCGGATTCGATGTCGTATGGAGAGAGTTACGGTTCTTCTTTGATGGAAGAAAAACAAGAAACAGAGAGTCGAGCTTCCTTGAATCCTGTTTATAAGCCGACGCCTCTTAACAGAGAGCTTCGAACTCCTCACAGCGGGTAATTCATCTTACCTGACTACTCAGAGTGCATAGGCGTAGATATTAAGTTAATATTACGAATGTTAGTGTGTTTCAGTTGTCTATAATTAACGATTTATGGGAATTGCTGGTTCTTTTTTTAGGTATCACTTTGATGGAAGCGCGAGGCGTTTTTTTGAAGGGTGGTACTTCAAGGTGTCGATTCCTGAACGAAGGCAAAGTTTCTGCTTTATGTATTCTGTGGAGAATCCTGCATTTCGTAAAAAACTGGGACCATTGGAAGAGGCTGCTTATGGCCGTCGATTTACTGGAGTTGGGGCTCAAATTCTTGGTGCAGATGATAAGTACATTTGCCAATACTCTCAAGAGTCCCAATACTTTTGGGGAAGTATGTTCTGAAATTATTGTCTTCGTTCTTTTGAAATTTGAACCCTGATTACCCAGACTTCACAGGTTTAGATGTAACCTTATTTTACTGAAATGCTGAAGCTTTCATGTGTTGATGGTTTGAAGTTCCTTGTTGAGCTGGCTTCTTGTGCAAATAGATAGTTTCATATTTTATCATAATAATGGAATCGCCATAGGAGTTCTGAGAGCTTATACACATCCAAACAAACACATGTACACACACGCATAATTATACAAAATGAGTAAGAAATTTCTTCTAGGTAGGATCATCTGCTCTCCTTCTACTGCCCCTTTATTCTTACCCCCTTGCTTAAAATGCTCCTTTGTTGTGCAACAAGACATCCAATTGTACAATAAAAGCCACGGAGACAACAAATTTATAGTTTAGGGTGTCACCATACTAACATAACCGTATATTATGCTTGTAATGCACATTTTTGGTTATCTTGGTCAGTAAGCATTTTACAATGGTTCTATAATAGGAACTAGTCTGGGGCATCGAGACAACTCAGCCAAGTCAGAATAGATTGTGCCTTCAAACATTTTATGTTATTTCATTTTCTTTTTAAACGTGACTGCATTTCTGTATTGGACATTTTAAGTTAGCACTGATTTTCTATTTTCTTTACTTGCATGTTTTTGTAAGATTATCATGTAATATCATTCTCTTCTTACACAATGAGCATAAAATTAGAAGATCTGCAATTCACATTTTTCTGTTCCTTCTAGGATTTTTCATAATTCTTATTCGCTCAACCTAGAGTTCCACCAGAATCAAATTAATTTGTTGGATCCATTTATTCTACTTCTATTCAGTTAGCTTACCTATATATGGTGGAAGAGATTTATTGGAGATATCCTGCCCTTCTTTGGAGAAACAATTCTTAGTTTTCTTTTCATATTCAATTTTATGTGATGCAAATGCTTATTTTTTGATAAATTCTTTTGTATTTAAAGAATATATTTTTCAAATTTTTTGACGAATTATGTCTCAATGCATAGGTAGGCATGAGCTAATGTTGGGCAACACCTTTACAGTGGGGAAAAACTTGCCCCCTCCAAATAAGGAGACTCCTCCTCAGGTCCATGTGCTTTCTTTGGATTAAAACCATTTAGCATATAAAATACTGTAATAATTTTGATAATGGTTCATATAAAAGGGTAACTTCGACTTACAATAGTTGCTGCATATTTTCCACCTTTCGTTGCTTGGATTCCATGTTACTGAAACAAATTTGCATTGATGTACCTATTGCTAGTGCAAGCGGGCAACACCAATAATGCCCAACTGATTTGCACAAATTAACTTTAGTGTCTGTACCTGTAGGATGTTGCAGTCATTTTTTTTTCTCTGCATGTTACTATATTGGCCTGTATAGGCATTTCCAAGATTGCCAGTGGCTACTCACTTTTCTTCAATTTCCTATTGTTTCTCGAAGACTGTCCTGAATTCCATACTTGATTTTGAAATGTCTTGCAAAAAGTTGAATTATACTCTTTATGTGATATTGAATGCTGTAATCTTAACAAAACATGTTCTCTTTCCCAAGGAATTTCATGGGCGTGTGTTGGAAGGATTCCAAGTTACACCACTTTGGCATCAAGGGTTCATTCGTGATGATGGCAGGTACATGTTTTATTCCATTATTTTCAGGATCTATGATCTGATATAACTGGACATAAACAGATAAGATCAATATGTTTGATGTTCTTTGCTTCTTCAGTAAGTTAAATATTTACAAAATTACAGTTAATGGTTTGCAAAGGATTCAACTAATACAATAATAAGTACATTACTGAACTTTTCTATTACATATATAACAGGGAAAAAAGTTGATCTAATTGTAAACAGTTCATGAAAGTGATTATGCAGAGGCCCCAACAGAAAGGACAACCATTCTACATAATAATTGACTACAAAGGAGAGTTGCTACATAATTAGGGGTGTCAATTGGACTGGATTCGGTCCAATCCGCTCAAGTCCAATGTGAGTCCAGTACAAATGGACCGGGTCCAATCCAATCCAATGAATATTTTGGACCATTGTGGGCCGGTCCAATTCAATGTCTGGACTGTCCAATCTTCTCAATTTTGTTTTAATTTAGATTGCTTCCAACCCAAACCTGCTCCATTGATGTTCTTATCTTCTATCAATGGACCAGATATTGGTTCGATCCAACCCAATCCAATATAAATTCATTACAGATGGACCAGGTCCAATCAAATCCAATAATTACTTTGGACCATTAAGTCTGGACTGGTCCAATTCAATGTGTCTTGTTGGTCCATCCAATCCGTCCAAATTGATTTTGGTTTGGATGGGTCCAACCCAAAATTGGCCCGTTGACATCCCTATACATAATTTTTTGAGAAAAGGTAAAGTATAACTGCATTAATCAAAAGATCCTTTGTACAGTGAGAAGCTGTACAAAAACTAAACATAAGGACCTCAAAAAAGTACAACCAGACATTCATATACATAATGATATTTGTTCAACAACTGGCCTTCTAGAATAGAAGGATAGAGACAAAGCTGATTAGATCACATATAAATAGAAAAAAACCCAGTTGTCTAACTGACGTCTTAATTGGCGTCTAAACTTAGTGTTGCTTATGCGGTGCATAATGATATTAACTGTCATTCCATATGGCCTCTTCTTTTAACTGATTATCTTAGGCATTTGAGGAGTATGTCTATAAACATGTAATGTATCTCCATTCTCCAATTCTTGATGTTATTTTGCATTGGCTCAAAGAGTCAACAAAATTCTCAATATTGAGCTTTTGTCTTTTTAATGGGCTAGAAACTTCAGAATCAAAAAAAATTGTTTGGAATTGAGATTCCTTGTGCTAAGGATTTGTTTTTTATGTTTAATGGTGAAGGCTGCACTGTTAGTATACTTTCAATATGGCAAAAGGTGTAATTTAAGGAAATTTGGTTTTCTTTTCTTTATTATTGTATTGTTATGCTTTTCCTATAAAATGTTGAAATCTTTACTTTCATACCACTAGAAATTATACTTGGCCTGATCATTCCTTCATCAACAACTTGACTTAGTTTTGGATGACAGATCAACTTATGTGCAGACAGTAACAACTGCACGTTGGGAGTACAGTACTCGTCCTGTTTATGGCTGGGGTGACGTTGGCTCTAAACAGAACTCCACAGCAGGCTGGCTTGCAGCTTTCCCTGTATTTGAACCCCACTGGCAAATATGCATGGCAGGTGGACTGTCAACAGGTATATGCCATCTTCCTTGCTTTCTGCAGTAATACATTAGTTTGAGTGGTGAAGTATTTGCTTTCCTGGATGCCATTATGTGAGATTGGGTATACTGTTGTTGAACTTGAATCTATTATCTCTTACATTAAAGTCTTTCTGGGTTAAAATCATTATCCTGATTGTCCTCCTCCTCCTCATTATCATCCAAGTCTTATCCCAACTATATGGGGTCGTCTACATGAATCCTGTTTCACCATTCTGTTCTGTTTAATTGTATATCGATTGTTAAATTGTTATCCTGATTGTCCTGCTTGTTTTACTTTGTCATGCCATTTTTTAGCTACAGCAGCATCCAGTATCATATTCTGTAGAGGTATTCAAAAGGATAGAACTGTATATGCTTATCATTAAAATGCTAAAGTGATATAGGAAAGCATTATTTCCACTATGTTGTCTGCATTCATGCCTGGACAAAGCTTTCCAAACAGAACTTCAATTGTATGGAGTGCAAGTAATATATTGAGGTAAGCGTAAAGGTCTGCAGAACACAAGCAATGTGGTGCAAAAGAACCCTTGAACTGACACCCCTGAATAAAAATTTATATTATTGCTGGCAGAATGTTATGTATACTTAATTTAATTTATTATTGTTTTGATCAGCAACAGAAATTAGTTTCATTAGTTGAGAATTTAAATTGTCACATATGATATTGGAGATTAATCCAACAACCCATTCACTGTATCTAGCAAGGATCAAAATATTGATATGACCAATACCCAAAGTTGGGCATTGGTGCGTATCGATATCATCGATACTCTATACTTTTTTTTTTTTTTTTAAATTTTATAACGCTTAGAGGGGTGCCTTTGATACTTGGGACATTTTAATTTTTTTTTGTATCGGTGTATCCATGTATATTGGAGTCCACTGATACAGATACAATAGGGGGCGTATGGTGTATCGTATCACCATTTTAATCCTTGGTATCTAGTCCATTACAATTCTGCTGAAAAAGTTGTTCCCTATAACCCCTTGCTTCGCTAGGATATCAGCCAAAATATTTGCTGTTCTTTTCACCGATTGGAAGGTAGCTTCCACCTCGTTAGCTAATCTTTTCATCTCCTTTTAAGTTTGCCTAAACATCCAAGCATGCAGGTTGTTGCATCTCATCCAAGAGATGGCTAGCTTTGAGTCCCCTTCAACCTCTACCTGCTTCAGTCCAAGCTATTTAGCTGACTTCTGCCATTGCAAGAGAGATAAAACCTCAGCTTTTAGTGAGTCCCCATGTTCAATTGGTCCTGAGTATATTGCTACCACCACACTTTCATTTCTAAAGACTCCCCCAATTCCTGAAGGTCCAGGGTTACCTACAGAGCTTCCATAAAAATTCAGGGCCCATTTGGTTTGCAGTCGGAATTGGAAACATAATGGTTTATTCCTCTCCACCTGTTTTGTTCAGACGGGAATTGGAAGCAGCTGGAATGGATTCTCATTCCCAAGGGAGGGAAGCGAATGGCCATTCCCTCAAATGAAGGAATGGGAATGGAATTCCAATTCTGTCCAACCAAACGGTTGGGATCAGAATGGACCATTCCAATTCTGATTCCAGACCCTATTCCAATGAACCAAATGGATCCTCAGTTTTACATTGTTATGTGAAGGAGGTTTCCACTCCGACACAACTATGTCTTTCACAATTCTGGATTTTGTCACCACTTCCCATGATCTCAGGATGTCATTCACCTAGAAGGCTTTGAAAGCTTCCAATGTTCTTACCCAATGTGCCACCTTATACTGTTTATTATGTCTTCTCTTGTGCTGTATCTCTCCTTTAATATCCGCTTATTCCTTTCTTCCAAGATAGTCCACACCAAAACTGCTCTCATTGCCCTCTACATTAGTCTTCCTCTCTTTTAGGTTGTCTCATGAAGCCAGGGCTGAATGGAGTGGCCACATCTTGAGGAGGTTCCCACCTGCAACCAAAGTGGGAGCAAAAGTACCTCCAAAAACAACTCACAAAAGGACAGGAGATTATTATTAATATAAGAGTTATGTGTTTCTAATTTGACATGGATCTATAACAGAGAACTTGATCTAACCATCTGTGATAAAATATGCAGAACACTAATAAAATTAAATTTGATAGCTCTGTTACAATGTTTGATTAGATGACCAGATTATTAATGTTTTATCAAGATATTCAATTAATTATTAACTGAAACTACTATTTATGCAACAATAGATGTCCAAGGAGGCATATTACTCAAAACACAGTCATTTATGCAGAATTTGCTAAATTATTTTAAATACCATATGCAAATAAGACACAAGTAGCAGACACATGTTGGGTTATAATCTCTGTTTGACTACTAATGCATACAAATATAAGTAGTTCATTATAACAAGTTTTCTAAATAATATAAATCAAAACCTGACATAAAGGAAAATAAATTAATTAATCTGGTACAATTTACCTTAATTATCCTTCCTGCTTGGAAGCAACAGTGGCCATAGACAGAATAGTAAATACGTGAATGTTGTAAAGAATTTCAAGATTCTGGACATGGTATCTCAGCCAGTATATGTCCACACTGCTTGATCTTGCTTTATAAAAAGGCATTTTGTACACATTATTTAAAAAGCCATATGTTTTGCCTTTTATTAGGGGCCATTTGACAGCTGAAGTGGCTGAACTGAAAAGCTTATTGCTTTGTCTTTTAGTGAATAAGATTTTAAGGAGGTTGGGGTCTCCTTAATGGCTACCCTTGAATATTTTATCCACTAAAAGACAAAGCAATAAGTCATTCAGTTCAGAAACTTCAGCTGAACTGAAGTATTATTGGCTGTTAAAGGTTTTAATATTTTTAATGTTCAACATGCCTCATAAATATGTTTTGTTTTGGCTATGTGGAAAACGTTTTCTGAGCTCAAATTTTCCCTGTTGGTAGAGGATAGCTAGAGGAACCTATGGGGCCATGTTTAGCCCTAGATCAATTTGCCATGTGGAAAATTCCTTGGTCATTCAGATTTCTTCACTAACGACTCAACTCAACTAGCAGACCCTCTCCCATATATAAATGTGCATGCACGTGAAATTCTTTTTCTTTCACTTCAATTATATCTATTTCATCTAGAATTCCATGTACTCATTTTAAATATGGAAGCCTAAAAAATTTTGTATATATTCCCAAGTTGTACATAGCTCCTCAAACTTTGAATTTATTCCCAGGTTGGATAGAGTGGGATGGGGAACGATTTGAATTTGAAAATGCACCTTCTTACTCTGAAAAGAATTGGGGTGCAGCCTTTCCAAGGAAATGGTTTTGGGTAAGGATTTTTTTGTCTTATGGAATACAATTTTTTTTCATTAATTGGAAATTGGTTGGGTTGTGTAGACATTTCGTTCCTGTGGTGTATATAAACTTACTCTTCATAGCTGCTTTATATTTGTTTTTGGGTTTTGTCTTCTCAAAATTGTTCTACAGCTTCTGTTTCTTAAAGGAGCTGATAAAATTGACTTTAATGTTTGAAATTTGTTTGTTCACAGGCTTGTCTTGGTTATTTGTTACTATTAGCAGTATTACTTTTCTTTCTTTTTATGCCCATAACAAGTAGAAAACTAGTAACACCAAAACCAAAAATCCTCCATTATCAGTTTCTGTATTACATGTATTTACAGTCACAAAGGTGCAAAAAGTGCCTGATTTTAGTTTGGGATGCCTTTTTCATCATTTTCATCATATGCAGGTAATCTATTGGTAAGCATCTAAACTGGTATAGGGCCAACAGAAAACACCAAGAAAAATAATATGAAAATATAACCTGTGGCATTATGGACCGAGGTTATTTAGTTCTTTTTCACAATGTCTTGTCACTCTTCCCTAACTAAATTATATATTGCCACTTTTATATGGATATACTAAAGCAAGATTATGCTGGTTGCAAGGATTTCAGCATCATTTATACTGACTTATAAGCTTGGAAGCAAGATGAGTATCCTTTCTTTTCGCTACATAATGATTATTTGTTTTATGATACCCACTTATGTCTACCAAATACCTCTTTACGAGACTTTGTTATTTGGGAGTTACATGCTAGAGGTATAACAGGTTTTTGGTAGAGATAACTGATAAGATTGTTGCTATGGTGGAAGATGGGTTTTATTAGCCTAATTTGAAGAATGATGTTGCTTATATAATAAAGTAATGCAGGACATGCCAATTTGCCTAAGGTCAAAAGTAGAACACAGGGCTATATACACCCCTACTTATTCCTCATGAACCATGGCAAGATTTATCCTTGGATTTTGTCCTTGGATTGCCCAAGACTACTAGGGGTCACGATACAATCTATTTGTGGTGGATCGTTTCTCCAAGATGGCTCATTTCTTACCTTGCAAGAAAACACATCACATATTGCTACTATATTTTTTAAAGAAGTGGTTTGACTTCTTGGAGTGGCCTTCTACTATTGTATCAAATTGGGACACCAAGTGTATGAGTTATGTTTGGAAGACACTAGAAATTACTCAATACTCAGCTGCAATTCTCTACATTGTTTCACCCCTAAATAGATGGTCAAACTGAGGTAGTGAATAGAAGCTTGGGAGATCTTTTATGGTGTCTAGTTAGTGATCTTACTTCTAGATGGGAACTAGTGCTTCCAATAGCTGAGTTTGTTTATAACAGCTCAGTAAATAGATCCACAGGAAGAAGTCCATTTGAAGTGGTGATTGTATTCAGCCTAAGCGACCAATTGACTTAGTTACCTTACCACTAGATACACGTACTAGCATTGAAGCAGAAGCATTTGCTCGGCACATAAGAGAGATACATGGTGATGTTAGGAGAAAAATTGCATTGAGCAATGATTTATACAAGGCTAGAGTTGATATTCATTGAGCAAATTATCAAGAGGGAGACTTGGTTATGGTACATTTACGACCAGAGCATTTTCCTAAAGATGTGTATAAAAAGCTCCACTCCAAGAGTGCAGGTCCTTACAAAATCATCAAGAAGATAAGTTCTAATACCTATGTTCTAGAGTTGCCGGATGATATGGGAATTAGTCTTATCTTCAATGTTGAGGAATTGACTCCTTACCATGGACATGTGGATTCTTTTAAGACTCCTATACCTAAGTTTCCAACTATTGCATCTCCAAATGGCATTCTAGAGGATCACTGTTGAAGACCTTCATCGTCTCAACCCAGATCTTTATGAAAGATACCATGCTTTTAGCTTGCCGGGGTCGAGTTCTTTCAAGCTAGGGAGAGATGATAGGAATCGATCAGCACTCTTGAAGACTTATTCTAGAAAGAAGAAGGCCTTACAACAGGTCCTGATATGGCATAGTGATGGTACTTGGGATTTGGACTGAATTGGACACCAAGGGTATTTTTGTTATTTTATAATTTTTTTGTAGGGTCCAATTATAGGGTTTGATCGTCTATTTATAGCTTGCTTATGTTTAAAATTTCAGAGTCATTGCATAGGTAGGATTAGAGTTATTGAGCCTTCTTTGAATTGAAACAGGATATGGCAGCTTAGTTTGAGTCCTACTAGTATTATTGAGTTTAACATTTTGACTCCTAGGATTATTATGAGTTTAGAGTCTATAAATATGTATGAACGCTTTACACAAAGAGAATGAAGTTTATTGATTTTTCTTCAGCTTATGCTAATTATGGTGAGTGATTCTAATGCCCTAGAGTGATTCCAGGCACCTCGTGAGTGATTCCGGGTACTTTCTCTTTTCTTTCTATTCCTCTTTTCTTTCTTATTCCTTCAAGAAGTCATTACATCCATCAACAACCATAAATTTCTGATCAAAGAAGACCATTCAACATTCTCTAAGGACTAGAATTGAGCTGGTCCTACATTAGTGTGGAAGACTATCCCTGCTGCGGTAATTGAATCTATTTGGGCAGAGAGAAACTACAGACTATTTGTAATAGGAGGAACTCTGAAGATCTTATCTGATTTGTAGTGGGTAAATTGGGTCTTGGCCTCCTGGGTTTTGGTCAAAAAGGAGTTTAAGCATCAGAATAATTTTCTGTCACAAAGGATTTGTAGTGTGGCTCCTTTCCTGGGGTGGGGTTTGTGTGTGTATGCTCCTGCCATTTGGGCCTGTTGTGCCTGTTGTGCCTTGTTGTTCTTGTTCTTGCAATAAATTTTTTACCTTACCAGTGGAGTTTTCGGTCTTTTCATCATTCCTCTTTTGGTTAATAAGGTTGCAGTAACAATGTCATAAGAGTCTTACTGTAGTTTGCAGATATTAGTATTTTTTCACAAAATTTACAATTGGTAACAATACTAGGTGATGATGATAATTTGCTTAAGGAGATCAACAAGTGCATGTATTGAAATAGTGGATGGAGTACTTATATTTGTATCATTTTACACTATGCAAAACAAACAAATGCACTCATGTTCTGTTAATTATTTATATGTTGGCAATGAAGGCTATGCATGTTTTAGCTGCGTGTTTGTCTGTTAAGTCTTTAAGCCTTTTCATTAACCTTTTTTTGTCATGAAAGCCTTTCTATTAAACTTGTAACTGGGAGTTAATAGTTGGGAGATTATTTCAGGTTCAATGTAATGTTTTTCAAGGTGCAAGTGGAGAAGTTGCTCTAACTGCTGCTGGTGGGCTGAGAGAACTCCCTGGATTGGCTGATACCTTTGAAAATGCTGCATTGGTATGCTCTCTACCATAACTACATTTTTGTTTATCAATAACAGAAATTTTCATTAGAAATATTTAAAAAATTACAAGATAGGGGGAGGTATACTTTCTTAACTCTTCATAGACAAAAAAAAAAAGAAAAAAAAACTATTACAATTGAGCCCAAAACAAACTGGTTCCTCCCCACCCCTTGTTTTACTAAGACATCATCAAAACCACTTGCTACCTGTTGGAATGTTTACTTTACATTTACGTTTTCATTCTGCTTAGTTAGGGTCAGTTTGGTCTGGTTAAAATAGCTTTTTTTTTTTTTTATCTCTGTTTATGTACTTTAACTACAGCAGTGGCATAAGGGTCTTTTCCCTTTTAATTATGGTTGCCCTATATATAATAACGTAAGCTGGCACCGCTAGACAGATTAGAACTCTCCAAACACTTCTTCTTCTCCTCTCCCTTCTTTCTTCTCTCTCTCTCTCTTCTCTTCTTCCTTATTTCTCCATTTTTTCTTTGCTAATATGGTATCAGAGCGGTTCTACTGGGTTAGAGAGCAGATTGAACAAGTTCTTTCTTCTTTATCTTGCTGTCTTCTCCAAACTGAGATCAGAGAAGTTGACCTACGACTAGTACAAGTTTATTTTACCTTTTTTTTTTTTTTTCTTTTCTCTTGGTCATATACCAAGAAAAACCTTATGAAACAAGACTGCTGAAGGCTGTTAGAGGAATTGTGAGGTACAAACCTCTTTTCTGTGGATCGTGTGATCCTGTACCTGAGAACGGGATACCTGTAGGTCACGAATGACCTATTTTTCCCTGTTTTTGGTGTGACTACACAGTTTTATGATCTCTCCTGGTAGTTGGTGTGTTTAGATGGTCTTGAAATTGGTGGACTGTGACTGTTAAACCTGTGTAGTGCTGAAATCAACCTTTTTTTTGGAGAATTGGAGCTGGTCTATGTTCAGATTGTGTCTAGACCGGAGTGTGTGCATGTGGACTGCATCTCTGGTGTGTTTCTGGGACTTTTGTGGGGTGTCATGAGGGATCTTAAGGTGTGTGTTGAAACTAAATAGTGTTTTGAATCATGTCCTCTGAGAATTCTGCAACTTCTGGGGTTTTAGGAGGTCAAAACGGAATGAGTGGGGGGATGGATATGAGTTTCTCCATGGCTGTAATTCCCTTTGATGGACTAAACTACCTTGAACGGTCTAGGGGAATTAAACTCTACATTACTGCTAGGGGGAAATAGGGTATATTAATGATAAAGTGAAGGAACCAAAGACTAGAAGTGCTGAATATGATAGGTGGAACCAAGAAAATAGTATGGTGATGTCGTGACTCTTGGTTTCCATGCTGCCACAAGTAAGAAAGACCTTTGTGTGGGCTGAAACAACTTGTGAAATATGGGAATAAGCAAAATCTACTTATTCGGAGCAGAGACATTATGCAAAGGTATACCAATTGCAAGCTGAATCCTTCACTTGCAAGCAGGGGGAGAGAAGTCTCTCAGTGTACTACTCAGATCTGACATCAATCTAGAAGGAACTGGATCATTATCAAAATGTGAATTGGAAGTGTGATGAAGATGCAAAGGCCTATAAATCACTTGTCTCCCAACAATGAGTATTTGCTTTTCTTTTGGGGCTGAATCCTACATATGAGTCTATTAGGGTACAAATCTTGGGAAGTAAGGACTTTCCTTCAGTTCAAGAGGTTTATGCCTTAGTTTAGTTTGAGGAGAGTAGAAGAAGTGTGATTATTGTGCAGAGGGGGAGCAGGTTGCACTAGCAGTTCGAGGAGGTACAAATTCAAATGTCGGAGGTTCTTTTAAGAAGGGTGATTCACAAAAGAGAGTGGACGACAAAGACAAGCTTTGGTGCACTCACTGTTAGAAGTCCAGGCACACTAGAGACACATGTTGGGACCTCCATGGCAAGCCTAAATGGACTCAAGAATTGAGTAAGAAATCAGCATTTGATCAGAGTATAAATCCAGCCCAGCAAAATCAAAAGAAATATAACTCAGCAAATGTGGCATCTCAAGAGACTAGTCCCATGGTACCTTGGGAGCGACACTGGTTCTGATCCCAAGGAAGAGATTATCAACTCTTTTTGTGACCATTTGGAGTTATATGGTAGAACACTTCGCCAAATGGATTCTGGTGGCCCTACTCCTACCTTCTTTGCGTCTATATTAGGTAACACTACCACTGCTTTCCATGTGTCATCTCATACACCTGACTCCTCCTGGATAATTGACTCTAGAGCCTCAAACCACATGACTAGTAAGTCAACTTTATTTCAGGCATATAACCTCCTCTCTGGAGAGATAAGGTGAGACTGGCTAATGGATCATTCTCCACCATAGCCAGTCAAGAAACCATCTCCCTTCCTTTTGGTCTTACCCTTTCTAATGTGTTGCATGTTCCTAAATTACCTATCAATTTACTTTCCATTAGCAGTATTACTCACTCCTTCAATTGTTTAGTGACCTTCTTTCATTCTTTGCGTGTGTTTCAGGATTTGGCCTTGGGGAAGGAGATTGGTAGGGGAAAAATGGTGGATGGTTTCTACGTGTTAGAGAATAAAACCGGTCTTATGGCTATAGAGTCTTTAAGTTCATCTAGTGAGAGCCACGCCTACTTATGGCATAGTCGTCTTGGTCATCTTTCTTTTGAGTCATTAAAACTTATGTTTCCAGAGTTATTTAAGTCTGTCTATTAGTGAGTTACAATTCCGACATGTCAATTGAGCAAACATTGTAGAAATTCTTTCCCTTTAAGAAATAAAATATTTGAATTTCTATTTCATATTGTCTATTCTGATGTTTGGGGCCTTGTTACTCTACCTTTTGAGATTTGATATAAGTATTTCATTACTTTGATTGGTGACTACTCTAGATATACATGGGTTTATCCTATGTGATCTAGAGATGAAGTGCCAAAGATTGTGAAAGATTTTCAATGCATTATTTTTACTCAATTCCAAATTGAGGTTCATATTTTCCAGTCGGACAATGCAAATGAGTACTTCCATAGTAATTTCACGGAGTTCTTTGCTTCGTGTGGATCTCTTCATCGAAGCACTTGCGGTAGGATACCCTAGCAAAATGGTGTCGTTGAAAGAAAAAATCATCTTCTTGAAGTGGCTCGTGGTTTATTACTCCATATGCATGTTCTGAAACACTTTTGTATGGATGTCGTTGTGTGTGTTGCATATATCATCAACCATATACCATCTCGGTTACTAGAGTATAAGGCCCCACATCAACTGTTGTTTCCTATGATTGTTCTATCCCCTATTCCAATGCGTGTCTTTGGGTGTCGTTGCTTTGTTTATGACTTGTCTCCTACTTGCAGTAAGCTCGATCCTCGTGCCATTCCTTGTGTTTTTCTTAGTTACCCTTCATCTCAAAAGGGCTATTGATGCTATGATCCTGTTTCACGCTAGTATTATGTCTCCATGGATATGTCCTTTGAGAGTCAACATTTTTTCTCGGTTTCTCTTCAGGGGGAGAGTGGTGTTGAGGAGAAACACACCAAAGTTCAATTACCTCATCTTCCCGATCCTCCTCCATTTCGTGTCTTTCTTTGTCGCCATAAGATCCAATAAAATTCAAGAGCTGTGGATATTTGTTCCAGTTAACTGGTATAGTGATTCTAACACCCTTTCCTTCATGAATCCAATAAAATTCAAGATATGTGTAGTTATTTGTTCCAGTTATAGTAGTGTCAGTTTGTTAATTCAGTTGTTATTTATTTCAGCTTTTATTTACTTTATTTATTATGTAAGTACTAAGGGCAGATGTGTCTTTTCCATTATGTACTAAACATAACCTATAAATAATAAGA